CATACATACATACATACATACATACATACATACATACACACACACACACAGGGGTAACTCCCATTGTGTGCATCACAACGACCAAAAAAAAAATATTTCTCACACACATCAATTTTTTCTTGAATAAAACAACACTGTCCAAATGTGAATTGCCGGATTTGTCAGTGGGATTAATGTAATGGCTGGGTGAATGTAGTTTGCACTTTTGTTCAATTTTCAACCTCTGCAAACTGACATGTATTATGTTTGATTACTAGTCAAGCGTGGAAGACCAGCTGGAACATGCAAAGTACAAGGAAAATACAGATGCTGATCAGTGATCATAAGCAACATTGAAACACACATCGTCATTGATTTTTTAACATGTATACTGATAAAAAAATTAAATAGTTCAGGCCATACAGTAAACAAGTCACTGAAAAAAAGGGTCAGGTTTTCCTGTTGGATCATATGAACGGTACATATCATGTATGATGAACGGCGGCCATACTAGTGCTATTTTCAACAGTTTTCTGTATCTCCGACACATAGAAATTCACGAAGTGGAGCACTAACAATGCCACATGGGTCTATTGGATGTTGACTGTAAGCAGATTTATAATATACTGACCTGAGTACTATAGTTTGCACTACTACTACTATAGTTTGTATTACTGGGTGTTGATGGACTGTAAGCTGATGTAGACCACTGATCATTATAATAATTATAATTAGGATTCACAATACTGGGTGCTGTCTGATGATAGCTCTGATACAGTGCATCACTGTTAAACATAGCTGCACTTTGCGGTTGCGGTGGCTGAGTTTGCTTCTAGAAATGGAAAATAAATCGAGAAATTCATTCAATGACAACATAGTTATATAAAAGATAGACTGCAATTTAAGCCCATCACTGTGAGTGGCTGTGTTTAATTAGCAGCCATAAAGTGAAGCACTATGATCATTTACAATATTATTACAATATCCTTTTTTGTTTAAACAAGCAGCCTTTCGACTGAGATAGTTCCGCTGTTAGCAATGCACATTTCAATTAAAGAACTAAAGATATTATCAGAAAAGGAACAAATCTGAGAGAGGTCTACCTGAGTTACCTATATGTATAATATGCAATCGAACTCATGGTTCTTAACAAGTCTAAAATATTACTTTTTACCAAGAATGCCAAAAATATTCATCAAAATTAGAAAATTGAAGATATTATCACAAAATGAACAATCTGAGAGAGGTTCACATGTAGTACCTATATATATAATATCAAAGCAATCAGACTTGCGGTTTTTTAACAAGAAGTCGAAAATATCACTTTTTATCCAAAATGACAAAAATATTCATCAAAATTAGAGAATTGAAAATATCATGACAAAATTAACAAATCTGAGAGAGGTCAACCTTTAGTTTCTATATGTATAATATCAAAGCAATCAGACTTGCGGTTTTCAACAAGAAGTTGAAAATATCACTCTTTACCAAAAATGACAAAAATATTCATCAAAATTAGAGAATTAAATATATCATCACGAAATGAACAAATCTAAGAGAGGCCTGCCTAAGGTACATATACACCAAGTATCAAAAGCAATAAGAATTGTTGTTTTCAAGAAGTCTTCGAAAACGTAAAAAGTTGACAAGGACAACAGCGATGGACGACACCGGACAATCACTCATATGATAAGCTCCGCTCAACAAAGTCAACAAAACCTGTCAGGTAACGAGCAAAAAAAGATATTTCAAAATTTCTGAGGGATGCTCAGCTGAATGTCCATCCCTTAAAATAATCATGATTTTTTAAGTTGAGATCAACGATGCGAACCAAGTACAATATATCATGCACATTTTTCATGAAATAAAAATCATTTTTGGTCAAACACAAAAACAGATTTGATTCAGGTGATCCAGTTTAAGAGGTCTCACTTATATTGTACACAAGAAAAGAAAAAAACATTTTTCTAAACAGGACCATTTTGTTTTTCTAGTTAGCATTTTTCCAAAATTAATCTGCAGCCAATTTTATAGTAAAAAATACATTTTATAACAATAATACATTTTATTCCTAATAACAAATTATTTTATATTACAACTATTGAATTCATTAAATAATTAAAGAATGATTCTAAATCACAAAATTTTTTTTTATGCCAAATTTTTTGTTTCAATGTTCTGAAAAAATAATCGCCAAGGATTAAATATAATCGCTAGGCTGAAAGCTGAATTGGTTAGTGTAGAAGCATGAACTGAACTAGAGTGGAATACAGATGATACACAGTAGCATATGTTGCAAACAATACAGTCTACTTATAATAGGATTAATGTTAGAGAAGCAATGAGATTCTACTGACCTGCATGAACTTATTGATATAATCATACGCTTGCTGTGCTGCATTTGTAACACCATACTGCGGTGACGTGTTATCGACTGTTGCTTGTTGTGCTTGTATTGCTGTGTTTGGGATAAGATACTGACCAAGCTGATCACTGTAGGATGGTAAATACTGCTCATACACACCACTCTGAATAAAAACAATACCGTATTTGCTATATTAGTAGTGCATGCAGGTCAATATAGTCAATGAGTCATATGCTAATGATCCAGTATGCAATACAAGCAGTTTTATGTTTATATACACTGTATTACATATACACATCACATCAAAGACAGTATACTGTATTAGCTCCATTAGTAGTTAATACGCTCACATAATTAACAGACATTATCATACATCTGTCATCGTAACGCCATACGTTACAGCATGCCGTAATTTTGCGGTATTTTACGGGGTATTTTCATCCTACTATATTAGGAAATGCGAATTCCAAATATGGAATTATTATGCGCGCAAGTCTCGCGCACTGGAAACTAACAAGCCTCGGGTGTGTGATCGCCCTAGGGAGGGGGGTGACCCTTTAGGCAAGGCCTTTTTCTTAGAGAATGTTATACTATATTTGCTCCATTAGTAGTGCATACACTCAAGTACATGTTAATAACAAATGCCTATGTGCACAAACTATATATTATAAAGATCCAGTATACAAAAAATGAAATCATGTAAATGCATGTGAAATGTTATTAGAGTTGGATTTCTAATAGAGCAAATACAGTAATTATATCAGGCATTTATCATATTTACAATATTTAGCTCATCTGTAATAGAATACACACATCTACCAAAAAATGGTGTTTATTGTACAACTTATTTTGACCATAGATACACCTCTTGTTTATTTAAGTGTATATGCCACTAACAGAGCAATTATGGCAGTTGTAATGATGGAAATATTATGAATGGATCAACATATCCATAATAGTGATTGATATAAACTAAGCCAAAAGATATTAAAACCTGCTGAGATGACAGATCAGCATGTGATTTTGTTATACTGAATTATTGCATGCATTAATACATGTATGATTTACTGTTCTATATAATGCTCCATATATCATGTATTAGTTGGACAGACAATGTTACATTTATATTATACAACTTTATTAAGTATAAACTGGCCATTTTAGCAATTGACTTGCATCACAAATTTTATAGCATATTACTGTACGTTTCAGTATTTTATTGGGTTATTATAATATATGCTAATGTGAGTGCTTTCTGTTTGTTTTCTAATTTCGACCATTAACTAATTTCAACCATTATCAATCACTGTTAACTAGCAAGTTTGACACATACAGCACATAACTTAAGTATTCAAGTTTTATTTTCACTTTGCTGATAGATGGACTACTTTAAAAAAATCAGATTATGCAGAGTTAACCATGGAATTTATTGTTTCCTTCACAAACCAGTGTTTTAGGGATTTGCAACATCAAAAATCTGCAAAAATGAAAACTATCTTCAGTGCTCCACGTTTTTTTTTCAAGTGTACTGTAATCTGCTTTAATTTTTGCGAATTCGCAAGTGTGGGAAAACCATGGAATTTTTCACAAGTCAAAGAAAATTGTGAAATTCCAGCGGATCAGGAAAAATAAGAGAATTCCACAGCAGAATTCCTAATCAGATTCACAAATCAAATTGCAAAAAATCCTAGAACTAAAAATAAATGGTTCACAGTATTCATTAAACGGTGAATATGTTAATGTCACAAATTCACAAAATACTCCTGTTGGGATTAGATGGACAAATTTTTTGAGTATAAACTAAAAAATTTGACTGAAATTGTGTCTGTTGGCTCTAAAATTAGAGTTCAATTCCAGAAATATTGAAGAAAATTAAAAAAAAAAAAGTGCAGAAAGATTTAGAGATTTGTACGAGAAAGTTTGGTGGTGAAATCGCATGTGATCATCTGATTGGCTGTTGACTCATTTGCATGTTTTACCATTATTATTTCATTTTACTTATCAGACACAATTACTAAATCAGTGACCGGCAAACGCATTTTTGTACATACACCATGGTTACTCTACCTGATGGATAAGTAAAGCAGCTCAAAATTTGAACATTAATTGGATGAAAACAAAACTGTTATAATCCTGTGTGGAATTAACAGCATATGTTACCAACAACAATTTATTACTGCAGAATAAGTCCCTAACATTACAGCCATCTCAGGCTAGGCTCAGCTAGGCTAGGCTAGTACCCCCCCCCCCCCCACTGAAAATAGCACAACAACTAATTTGCATGAGAATAGGTGTCAATCATTTCCATTCATTGTTAGGATAATCAATTACTATTATTAACCTAAAATTATGGAGTAGAGGTAACTAGAACTTCATACAACTCCAGTTTAAACAGTCAATTTTTTTTTTCATGAATGGCGTTACATTTGCAAACCTTTCTAAACTTCCTTAAGCCCCCGACCACAAATATATAGTCACAACAATGTTGTAATGTGAAAACAGACAACCACTTATACAAAAATGCATTAGGTAGTCTAAAATTAAGTGGTACAAAGGGAAGCTTGTCACAAAATTCAGCAAATCATTTTCATACACAGGTAGCATTAGATCATCACCAAACGATTGCTCTCAGTCTAAGTGTGTTCAAGAGGTCAAATGATTTTATATCAAAAGATTTTAGTATGTGCTAAACTTTTGAAAAAAAGCAAAAGATGGTTTGATAACTTTTTAACACATAAAAGATTACTGAGGTAACCTTGACAAATGAAATAGCTTTGTCATACTTATTATTATGAATAAGATAAGAGACTAACTTGATTGGTTAAATCTTGAGTAATATTCACATCTTGTTGTTGCTGCTGCTGCTGATACCATTGTTGAATATTATTTTGATACTGTAAACAGGAAATTCAATTTTTAAATAGTTTACCACTATCCACTAATGTCACAGAGGAGACACTATATTTTTATCTTTATTTTCCATCACTCAAATTGCAAGGCAGACATTTAATTGGTATAATATTTTTTTTTTTAATTTCTTCTATAAAAATTAATTAAGACAACAATACTCTACACAGTATTTAAGTGTAGTTTAAATTCCTGACTAAATGGTTTCTGGGTCATTATACGTTTTCTAGTTTGCCTATTCATATACCAAGTAGTGCAGTATGTAGAGAATGATATTTTGTGTACATGTTAATGGGCATACAATACTGTAAAAAAAAAAAATTCCAGATCTAAAAATCCTAAGTGGGTCTATTTCATAATTTTCATCAAAAATTACCTCTCCCAACACAATTGACAGAACAATTGCGCATGCTCAGAATAAATTAATTACTGTAAAATACTTATTTTCGCTTGCAACTTTTTATTTGCTATTTTCGCTCAAGGAATGATTCAGTGAAAAAAAAATCTAGAGAATACACCGGGTATCTTTTTTCCTATATTTTACATTCAAATCCTGAAAAATCAGTAAAAATACAAAACACCCAGAAACTTTTTTCCCCGCAAAAAAATTAATTCCAGCTAAAATAAAGTATTCTACAGTAGACAAAGACATTGAAGGCAAATGCTTGGATGCTGTATCTGCTTGCCTTGGTCCTTCAACATATACACATACATGCATTAGTGTCTGCATTCCTGCAACACTCTTTCATCACATAATTTTTTATTCCATAGTGGCCATTGTTGGTACTTCTAGCCATGCTGTATTTTCTACACTAAATAAGATATGGGTACTATACCTGTTCAATTGAGGTTTGTTGCGGTGGCTGAGGTAACAATGGGGATGCCTGCTGTTGCTGCTGCTGCTGCTGCTGCTGCTGCTGAACAGGGTTGGCAGAAATATTCTACAAAATACAAAACACCATTTAGGTTAGTTAAGTTTAGATTGGGGAATAAACAATTGTCCATCAAACACCATGGCAACCTTCTTAGTAGTAACAATGAAGTCAATATAGTTAAGAAGCTAGATTCAGGCATGATAGCTTGTTGTCATGACAACAATACCATCCACTTGTGTTTGTGAAATTTAGAGTAGGGAAAAACAACATACCAGTAGGTTGTTCGAGAGCTGTGTTGGTGAAGTCCCTAACAATGTCTTTTTGGTGGTGCTTGTATTCACCGCAGGTACAGGATTATTTTGGTTCTGTACACTATTACTTAACGCAACTAAATACGCAGCCTGCGTCTGTAATAAAGCTGACGCCGGATCTCCAAGAAGTGACGGCTTGGGAGTAGACACAACTGGCTTCTGTTGTTGCTGCTGCTGTTGTTGTTGTAATTGTGCTAACAGGTTTTGTTGTACTTGTGCTACAACTTGTAAGTAAGGTGATGAGGCAGACGATGGTGGGGCTGGTCCCAGCAAGGAAGGTGTATTGTTGTTAACTGCAGGAGTGCAGCTCTGATTAGGTGACAGCGTCTTTCCTATAAGCAGCTGATCACTTAGATTTATCTCATTGGCTGTTCTATTAGCTGGGGCAGTTCCTAACAACGGAACCTTCGATTGGGTTGGAGGATTGTGAACCTGCTGCTGCTGAACTTGCTGCTGTTGTTGCAGTTGTTGCTGCAGTTGTTGTTGTAGTTGCTGCTGCTGCTGCTGCTGTTGTTGCTGTTGCAATGCAAGCATTAAAGCTAAATTATTTGCTGGTCCACTATTGACTTGTGGCGTCCCTAGCAATGAAGGTTTTGGAACCTGGAAAGAGAAATAAATAATCAACGCTGGTACTTGTCATTCTGTGTACAGCTAACACATACATGTATATATGAATGATGCAAAGCATGGTGCGTCTAGAGAATCTCAGTTTGCAGTATCCAAAAATCATCTCTGCAATTTGGTAACTACTGTAAAGCATGTCTTTTTCGCGAGCATGTCTTTTTCGCAAATTTAGCTAGAGAACTGATTCGCTAATTCAAGATGTCACTATTGACTTTATTATCAATTCAAAATGGCTGCCAAACAAAGAAATCAACAATGACAAGCGAGATTCGCTAAATCAACATTTGGTTATTACGTCATTTTACCACAATTCGCTAAAATTGAATGCCACTTTTTCAACATGTTTTACAGTATAACATTCATTTTAGAAATAGAAGCTGCACCCATTCTTTCTGAAAAATTGAGAAACTCTTCATTTCTTATATGTGTAGATGCTCTAATAGAAGCTGCGTCCCCTCTGTTACACTCCATTTCAATAGAAGCCGCGGCTTCTAATACAGATTTTACAGTAGTTTTCAGACATAATCCTACAATAATCTGATGAAAATCTATTTAAAACTGAAAAATCATTGCTACATCCTGGATCTGGTAATACATGTACCTGATGTAGAGCTAACTTGCTAGGTTCTCTTGGTCTCAGAAGTCTTGTGAATGACTTAGGCTGTCTTGGTGCTGGCATTGCCTCTAACTGCCTTGTATCTCTAGATAGTTGGTTCCTCACTAACTGTTTTCCATTATGTATTGCTCTCAATCTATATACTGGAGTTGAGAACTGTCTATTCGCTAGTGGTATTCCCTGTCGTGCACCAATGTTTACTGGACCTCTAATATCTGTATTCTGACTACCAATAGGTGTACAAAATGGCCGGATTTGAGATGGCAATGTATAAGGTGGTTTTGGTTGACTGATATTTCTGGGATTCAGTTCCAATATTTCTGGAGAACTCAAAATCTTCTCAAACAGAGACTTGTGTTGTGAATCCATTACTGTACTATCTGTTGCTTGCCCTATTGCTTGATGTGGTGAGAACATCAGAGTCTGGTGACTATCTCCCTGTCTAACTCTGTTATCAAGTATGTTGCTACTATAATCATCTCTGTCTTGTGGCTTTGTAAGCACAGCTGTATGGTGACTACCTCCTTGTCTAACTGCCATATCAAGTCTGCCGCTACTAAAACAATGTCTGTCTTGTGGCTCAATGTCTGAAAATCTTGTAAACTTTCTAACTTTATTTGGTTTTACCTGACAGGAGCGAGTATCTAGGTTTGGCTAATGATAAAAACAAAACTTGAATCATTGCAATTTATAAAAGTATTGAGAACAACAGCCAAAGTGGAAAGGACAACACAACACATATTCAATTTACAGAGAAGAAATTATTAGTATTAGAAGTATTTTTGAGTAGGATAAATTGATTTGGATTAATATTGCATCTTCATAAAAACACATTTTGGTATGATTCATTGGAAAGTAAAAACTGCTTTTGCGGCAGTAAACAGTAGCATTCATTTCATTGTAATAATAATATTGTAATAATAATTCAAGTGTAAACTTAAAGCGGGGAGAGTCGTCACCTGTGCATGCTTCAGATGGCCATAGCTTGTCATTTTTTTTACAAACAAGCATCTACCCATGAGCCTTTGTGTTTTTAGCGCGTGTTGTCATCATCGCTTGGGACTCAATTCCCACTCGTGCGCAGGTGGCGACACTCCCACATTAAACGTTCTGAATTGTCTGTATGTGTAGGTCAATCCAGGACACATTTGTATTATTTCAATGTATGAACACTGTTCACGTCGCTTTCAAAATAAGGTTTATATTTTATGATGAATCATACCTTAATGCTAGTATTGTTGGCAAAAATTGTTTGAAAGCCCTTTCAATAAGTATGTCGACCAAAAATCAAATATGAAAGTTACAACATTTGTGAGTTCTATTATTCGAGCATTGCGCCGTTTATCAACTAGGCTACTATTATTCTTCACTGCAACAACAAAGCATGGTAAAACTAGAAATATTTAAAAAAAAACACTTACGTTCTCTTTCATTTGTTGAGAGAATGGATTCTGAAAATGAGAAGCTACCATAGCATTCATCATGGAAACCGATGCCGGGGTACCACCTTGTTGACTGACTGGAATGAACGGCATTGAAGGAGGTGCTCCAAGAAGACCTACAAGAGAACATGCAGTTAATGCAAAAACATGTAGTAAACTATTTTTTTTTTAGATGTGCTGTGTAAGTAACTTGTGACCCATTCCTAGCAAGTAACTTTTAAGCAACAAAAGTAACAATTTTTCCAATCACTGGTTGCTTGAGGTTTTAATCCAAAGTAATGAGAAAAATAAATATTTTTAAAATATGTATAGTTGATCGAGTGCGAAGTGACAACATTGGACAAAGATGAAAATGTTATATTGCGTACTTCGCTAAGAGTATTAAGCTGTATTACTATATATCACACGCAATTGACAATTACACATTGGTATTGATTCTAAGGAGGCAACAGTTTGTATGCAACATGTCAGATACAGCCAATGTGTGCACAACAAAAGCATGGTCTGGACACTTACTTAGTTTGGTAGTTTTAGTATCGCTATTACCCTGAGCTAAAACACTAGGTGTAGGATCAGGAAGTAAATATTTCCTGTGTGAGCCATTTATCTGAAACAAAAACGAGAATATAAGAAGATACTACAGACAAAACACATGTATGTACTGTATTTTCTAAATTAAACCATGTGAGCTTCATAGGTAAAAGACAGAGGCGAGTCTATGATCAAAGTAAGATGTATTTATAAGCATTTTTGTGTTCATGTGCACTTCGGTAAGAGCAAATTCAGCGTATGAATAGGACTAAATGTCTACATGCGTCATTCAGAACTGTAATTGGTATCAAGTGTTGTGTGTGATCTGTATCAAAATATCAATACAGGTAAGTAGGAAAAATTGTGTTTGTTTCCTAGATTGCGTCTCATCTGCTACAATTCCCAGCAATTACCACAAAAATATAACAGTTCATCTTGATGTTAGTCATATTTGGAATGAGAATGCAAGCAGGGAAGAAATAATGTGGGGGGAAAAAACACTTGAATATCGTTTCGCTATAGTCTACGATAATTGTAATTACTAAAATAATGATGAAACACAACAGGTACATGTAAATATTCTATCATATCATTTCTGTTGTGGTATGTATGGGTTTGAAACATAGCAGGTACATATAGATATTATATGATATTATTTCTGTGAGTAAGATAATATTGAGAATCATTTTAGTGGTGAAAATTTCTCTGGAGTTTTACAACACAGAATGTAAAAGTGACTTTGATATAATTTTGTCTTCCATAATGTCATTTTATAATTGTGAAAACTAAACAGTTTCCATTAAGAGATCAATAAACATAGAATACATGTTTGTGTAAATCAGTGTATACATCATAGAAGAGGACACATGTGGCTGACAGTTGTCTTCTTTGGATATCTACCAGCTGCACCTAGCATTACTAATATGTACAGCTCATGATTATACATGAATAGTACTGGAGCTAAATCTAAAAGCATTTCTATAATGCTAAGAATGCATGTTTATGTGCACATCATGTCACAATGGACAGGAAAACAATTCTCTACAAAGTTCTATCACAGCTAGCTCAGCTCTAAAGATGCATGTTCATGTGTGCATCATGTCGCAAAGTTTTATCAAATGTCAAGCTCCCATTTTGAATTGCTGATCATGAGTGAATTTTGTAGATGTGAAATTAACCTGTACATGTAGTTAAGCGTTACAGCAACAGAATATAATGTGTGGGTTGTTAGCTGGTTTGTCAAACTGTTGATCAATCCATCCAAATAATGCAAAAAAGTACACTACACATATATACATAAAAGTAAACAACATGTATAAAGAAACATTCATAGGCTGTAACAACATGTCACCAAAGTATGCATCAAAAACTTGTTGGTATACTTTCAAAACTGTCCTAAATTTGTTCAATTGTTTTAGACAGAGTACCAAAGCATTTTCTGTTGAAGTCACTTGGAAATGGAGAGAAACACGATTATGAAAGATGACAAAACTGTTGAGATTAATGCAGCAAATCCAAACATCCAGATGCATTTAAATCAACAATAATCAAGTTTTTCCGATATTTAATTTATCATTTTTTTAAATGATTCATCTTCTCACAATCATACTTTTAAATTTCTCACAGCCTTTAATGCGCAATAAATTTGTCAAACTGGTGGGCAAATAATTGTCACCAAATTTAAAGCTAATTTATCATCGGTGACTGTTGAAGAATGGTTAAGTGGAAGCACAGAATATAAAACCTGTGGACTGGCAAAACACAACATCTTTGGTGATGTCTGAACAAATTTCATAAATTTTTTGGGCATGTCGATTTTATGTTCAACCTTTGATGTATATTATGGTACATACCCTAGCCATCATTGCACTGAATATCTGGTGTCCTGTTTGTCCCGGTGTACAGAATGATATCGCAACTTTACCATCACAGATTAGTTTACCATGAAGAGATATGTGAACTGTCTCTGCATCTTCGGATCTATCAAACTCAATCACACCAAAGGTTTTCTCATCTCTGTTTATGCCTATAGCTACCTGCAGTGTAATAAACATGTGCACAGTTAGCAATATATGGCGTAGGGATAAACATATATGACTTGCTTTTATACAGTAAATTCTATAAAGGGGCAGCCATCTTGAATAAGGCTTGAAATTACTGTAAAATATTTTATTTTCGCTTTGAATTAATTTTCGCTATTTTTGCTGAAGTAAAGATTCAGTGAAAATAAAATCCAGCGAATTTATATTTTCTTTATTTTACATTCAACTCGTCAAAAATCAGTGAAAAGAAATTCCATACAAAACAGCCAAAAAGTTTTTTCAGTGAAAATTAATTCCAGCTAAAATAAAGTATTTTACAGTAAATAAATAGACAAGTTGGGAATCAATTTTTTTTAGTTTTCTACAAATCAGGAGGGAAATACCAATAATTTCAAGACCAAGCAATTCATTTGGGGTAACATTAAGGTAACCATTAATAAAATTTGACCGCATTTGTCATTTTTGCATGCGAACACTTTCCCAGAGAGCTGAAAAAAAATTATTTTTAGAATTAATTTTCGTTGAAAAAGCATTTTGGCTGTTTTGTATGACATTTATTTTCACTGGATTTTGAATGTAAAACATATAGGAAAAATAATCTTTTCATATATTCATTCCTTCAGCAAAAATAAATTCCAAGTGAATCAAAGTACAGTATATGAAACCGAAATCATCTTCAAACTGAAAGGCCGTCACTGATTGGGTCGTGATTAACATTAATTTATTATCACTTGCACGCCAACTGACTGTGACTGGATTGTATTTGTTTTGCAGTATTTGCTCTATTAGTAGTGCATGCATATATATACATGTATAAACTATAGAGATGTTTCAAAATAAGTAATTTTTTTAAGATTCAGTATACAAAATATACAATCCTTGGTATATATGCCCTACCATTAGAGAAGCAGTTCTCAGAGAGCAAAACACAACATACACAACACTACAATGGTTTTTACCCACATGTTTATATTTAACAGTGAGTCTATTATAGAAGAACCACAATAGACAAGTCTTGGGTTCACTGGTTGCTTGGTGACTGATTGTATGTGACAATATCAATTTCATAAGAAATAAGCGGGTTGACCGTTATTGGCATACTTCCGGAGTATAAATCAATAGCATATAGTTTTAGACAGATATTATACAATCAATCATTATACAATCTTCCAGAATATGATAACTTTAATATGTTCCTAAATGATGAAAAATGTATTTGTTTTCATTCACACACCAACACAAATGTAATTTAAAACATCTGTGTGCATACTGTAAGATATATGAGGAAGACAAGTCAAAGAAGTCAACAGACCATTTTTCATTCGCTACAAGATCCTGCGTTATAAATCGAATGTGGAAAAGAGGACAAAGGACATAGCATTGTAGAGTGTAGTGGCGAGATTCAATATATATATATATATATATATATATACACAATGTATATATATGATTATGGGAAATTTTTATGAAGTAAGGACATCTCAATGACATGTTTCTCTCTGAAGAGATTAATATTTTGACATTGAAATATTAAAAAGAAAAAAATTAAAAAATT